GTTCAAGATCTGCCTGGGCAACTTGGTGAGACCTCATCTCTACAATAAATCAAAAAATTAGCCGGGCATGGTAGCGTGCACCTGTAGTTCCAGCTACCCGGAAGGCTGAGGCGGAAGGATCACCAGAGCCAGGCAGGTAGATGCTGCGGTGGCCGGGAACGTGCCACTGCACTCCAGTCTGGGCGACAGAGTGAGACCCCAACTCAAAAAAAAAAAGTAACAACTCACAAGTAAGGAAAACGCTTTTCTTCTATGTTATTGCTTGCTGAAGACAGTCTGATTATCGGGCTCAATGCTGATTTGCTAACAGTTAGTGTGAAGACCCCCCATATTTATTTTTGAAGAATTAGCTCTCCTATACCTACATGACTTCTGCCTTTTGAGCTTGCAGCATTTATTTCTATTACTCACTAGGCTCCATTTCGTGGTCTCCCCTCTCCCACCCTCCAAGCTAAACAGGGACCCAAGACAACCATTTTGGCCAATTTCACATCACTCTTTACCTTCAATTACCACAACAGTTGACATACAAGCAACGATAGACAAGTAGTAGGAAAAGACCCCATCTCCCACCCTTCACAGTTCACAGCCATTAAATCCACTGTATTTGAACTGGGAAGCGGTGAGCCCTGGAAAACTTTACTGCAACCTAAGATAAACCGATCCTTCATATAGCTTTACACTCAACTTTCAGAGGCTTTTGTTTTTCATTATATAGGTGAGAAGAAAAAAGTCCAGTCCCATTTAAGGCACTACTGACATGCTGCAAGACAGAAATTCTGAAGAAGAATGGTGGAAACTGGTGGATTAACTGACCATTTATTTTCTTGGTTCCATGAATTCCAAGGCTATCTTTTTTTTAAGAAAGCAGTACTTATTAAGAGGACAGAAAAGCTCCCACAGTAGGAGGGGATCCGAAAGGGTCGGCCCCAATGGTTTCAAATGGGGAGAATCTCAGGCGCTCCCTCCTTATAGGACACTATCAACACTAAGGGAAATAGTAACCGATTCACACTTCCTAGAAAAACATCTCCAACCCATGAAAGTAACACTACAATTAACCCCTGTGTAACCATCATAACTCATGTCCACTCTACTTAAAAAACAGTTCATCCCAAAATTCTATCTGAAGACTTCAAAAATCCAACTACCCTGGAGATTTTAAATATTAAAAAAACAGGCAACATTCACCTTAGTATAAATTATTCATTAATTTACCTTCCATCTAGCTCTCGGACAGCATCAGCTGCATCTCGGGGATCTTCAAATTCAACAAAAGCAAAGCCGGGAGGGTTTCTAGCAACCCACACACTTCGGAGTGGTCCGTAATAGCCAAAAGCTCGTTCCAATTCAGTCTTGTTGCCATTGTTTCCAAGATTACCTACATAAACCTTGCAATCCAATGGACAGGAATCACGATGCATCGCTGTAACAAATAATACCAAGTATATTAATTTATCCAAATCACCCAGTTAGAAACACAGATGCTCAGGAAAAATTCCAAAATTCTAGAAAACCAAACAAGAAATACTACTATTGGAACACTCTTGCCCCATCATCTTTACTCGTAACCCCCAGGAAGTCAGCAAATGAAGAATTAAGGAAAAAAATGCTTACTTGGAAAGTTCAGAACACTGGAGGGACATTTACCACAACCTGCACCACGAATTAGAGACTTAACTTGTAATTTCATTTACCAAAACAAAGCTTTTAGAATAAAATAGCCCGCTCGGAAACAAACTGTGTTGCGGATTCAAAAACCAAACGAGTGGGTGCGGTGGCTCACCCCTGTAATCCTAGCACTTCAGTAGGCAGAGGCGAGAGAACTGCCTGAGCGCAGGGGTTTGAGAACAGCCTGGACAACTTGGTAAGATCTCCTCATCTCTAAAATAAATCAAAAAATTAGCCAGCGTGGTAGAGAGCCTGTAGTTCCAGCTACTTGGAAGGGTCGAGGCTGCGGTGACCGACCGTGAGCGTGCTGCGACACACCAGCCTGGGCGACAGAGTGAGACTCCAACTCATTAATAAAAAAAAAAAAAGAAAGCCTTTGGTGTGCTACAGAAACTTCCTTTTCTGAAATTAGGCGAATACCACGTCACTGAACAGACCAGTCTTACGCAGCAAAAAAATCTCAAGCAGCAAGATCAAATGTCCAATTTTCTAAAATATAAGCTCAGAGCAGCACTATTCACAGCAGCCAAAACGTGTTAATCCCAATGTCCACCGACAGGTAAATGGGTAGGCAAAACGTGGTACAGTCATGCAAGGGAGTGAGTGGGATTCAGAACGAAGCACTGACAAATGATACAACTTTGGAACATCTCAAAAAGTGTGCCAAGTTAAAGAAGCCAGACACAAAAACACATATTGTGATTCCATGTATGCGAAATATTCAAAATAGCTAAGTTCAGACAGAAAAACCGAGGGTTGCGGGGGGGGGGGGGGGGGGGGGCGCAGAGCGCTGAGAGGGAACGGAGTGCGGCCTCCACAGGGGGTTCTCAGAAGGTTTTGGAACTAAACAAGTGAGAGGCACAACGTATCACACTTTTTAAAGTGTACTATGGACTACTTAATTTACACTTTAAATCTTACGTGAATCTCACTTGAATAAAAAAAAAAAATGAAACTACAAAAAGGCATTTGTTCAAAAACGTGCTTGCTGCACGTTGCGAAATTATACTCGATGAATCTTCAATACTTAAGAAGTCTCTTCGGCAGTGATTCCGATCAACTCGCACACCAGTTTCAATGACATAAAAGCCAACCACTCAGTAATGCAGCTTACGGGCTTTCCATTAGCACCAAGTTCCTCACTCTGGGCTTATCTAATTACAAAAATCCAGTCCAGACACATCCTACTCGCCGTGGCCACACCCTGTGCCCACGAGTTACTTGCGAGACCAAACCATAGGCGACAATTGCTTTTTCAAAAAACACTGTCGTGCCTGGTTTCAAGCCTCTGTGAAGCAGCTGCAAGAATGCATCTTAACTTCAAGGAAGATCGTCCCATTTTTAAAAAAGGAATTAGACTTAGGCTGTAAAAAGTGAGGTCAAATTGAAACGACATGAAAACAAAGCTGAGTATGAAAACCCCTCACTATGAACTGAAAGGGCCAGTGGTCTAGTCTTCATTAGTGACTTAAGGAAAAATTCCTGGAGCTCCTGCCCGCCCCCCCCCCAAAAAACGAGAAGCCAGAAAAAAAAAAGGCGCCATAAAAATGGAAAGGCCGCGACCTGGAGTACAACTCGGTTTCCGGCTCCCCTTCCTCGTCCCGACTCCGGGGTGATCCCCTATCCCAGCTCATCCCCCCGTGGGGGGTACAAACACCTCCAAACCAAGGCTAGGAAACCCTCTGATGGGGCGGGAGCCCCCCGCCACCGCCCCGTGCTGAACGTCACAAAATGGCGGCGGCGGCGCCTCTTTGTCTCAATCTGGCGCCGCCATTGGGCCTAGCGCCACCTCGGTAGCGTTAAAATTCCACTTTCCACTCCACTCCTCCCATCGCTGGTCTCTTACCGAAGATCTAGGGTAAAAAAACGCGGCGACTCAAACCCACACGCTCGATGGGTCGTCCTACGTCCCTCGGGCCCAACTCCGACCGAAGCTCTTCCCCAACCGGCGTCCACGAAATGGCGGACCACCGCCTTCTTCTCGCCCTTATTTATACGCCACACCGGCATCACATGATTGGACGGGCTCGCCCAATGAGAGGCGGAGGAGGCCGTGACGTGGCGGCTACAAACGCTGCGAGAGCCGCGGTTGCCGGGAGCGCGCCTGGGCCCTGCCCCCGGGGGGGCGCAGACGTACGCTGGCGCGCGCGCTCGCCCCCATACACCGGGCGCTCCCTCCGGCCTTCTTCCCGGTTGGTTCGCCCCCAGCGGCCCTCGGCCTCCTCTTGCTCGCCTCTAAGGAGGCCCGGCCTTAATAAACCAC